TTTCAAAGACTCTGCTTAATTGTTTCCCATTTTGTAAGACATTTATATTTCATTAGTGTCGTGGTTTAAACCCAGCCATAACTCAGAACCACGCAGTCTCTGTCTCACTCCCCCTCTACTTCCCCTCCACCCCCCCTCCCAGAGGGATGGGGAGGAGAATCGAAAGAATGCAACTCCCATGGGTTGAGATAAGAGCAGTCCAGTAACTAAGGTATAACACAAACCACTGCTGCTACCACCAACAATAGTAATGATAAGGGAAATAACAAGGAGAGAGGATACAACTGCTCACTACCTGCTGATCGATATCGAGCCTGACTGAGCAGTGATCTCACCCTGCCCAGTAACTCCCCCAGTTTATGTAGTGGGCATGATGTGCTGTGGTATGGAATACCTCTTTGGCTAATTTGTGTAAGGTGTCCTGTCCCTGCTTCCTCCTGGCTTCCCCTCCTCCCTGGCAGAGCAGGAGACTCAGAAAGTCCTTGGTCAGAGTAAACATTACTGAGCACCAACTAAAAACATCGGTGTTATCAGCGTTGTTCCCAGACCGAAAGTCAAAACCACAGCACTGCACCAGCTACTAAGAAGGAGAAAAAATGACTGCTACTGCTGAACCCAGGACAATTAGCTTATATTTCATCTCCAGATATGACTTTCTTCTTCTTCAATCGCTTTATCACCTACATTGTGTGCAAACCATTGTGCTGTAAGCTTGTATACATTGTACAGGGGAGCTTTTTTTGTCATTGGGTGAACTCAATGTGGGGGTAGGTGAAGCCTTTTTGTGGGTTTGTTTTTTTTAGAGTTCTTTTTACATACTCCAAGTAACATAAGAACCTCCATTAGCAGTAGCTTAATAAGCTTTTTTAAACTAAAATACTAAAACCTCTCTCCCCGTTGAGAGTATGTAAAGAAACTATTCATACCTGGCTTTCTGAGAAACTTGCTTCAGGTTTCATATGACCAAAGTGTGCATGTGTTGAAACTTTTTTAGAGGCAGCAGGAAATATATATGCCAGAGCAGAAAGGCAGACATCCCTGTGCTTCTCATGTCAGGTTTTTAACAAAAGCCAGATTGGCCCCTAAAGTCTGTTTCAAAGGGCGTGCACCAGCTTCCAGTTGTGTTTACACATCTGCTTCAGAGGAACACAGGGCTATATATACCAAAAAAAGCCTCTACCTTGAGACTACTGAGGGAAGATAATGTACTACCCTGTCCTGATGGAATAGCTCAAGAATGCCAACTGTGCCACTGTGCAAATCCCTGGCAGGTATTTCATACACTCTGGCAGCAGCCAGGTTCAGTTATGGAGACCATCACCTCTGACTAGGAGACCAGTGCCACCAGTGACAGCAGGGTAACCAAAGGGCTCACTCTGTGCAATGCAAGAGAGGTTCCAGCATTACCTCTTGCCTCTCTGTTCTTGGCCTCTGTGCTTCCAGTTAATCTTATCCTATGATGTCAACACTCAGATATCTCACTTTTATGCTATTCTTTGCCACCACAAAAAATTTGACATGATCGAGAATACATGGTGGTGCCACAGCTTATTTAGAAATAAGCATCTGGTTTCAATATCTCTCTTGCTAACATGGAAAGTGCATTTGTTTTCAGTACAGTAGCTCAGGCTGCCGGAATGCAATCATTTTAATGCACTGCTTCTGCCTAAAGAACGTTGCCACTGTCCACCGATTTGTTACCCGTGTAGTGTGGAGTGTGCATTCGTTGCTTGATGAGATTTTAATGTAGCTGTGACTCTTATTAGTGCCTAAAGGTTAGATTTGCCATGTTTCTTTCTGATTAGTTTTTCCTGTCTGTGGCATATATATACCATTCTCAATAAAAGCAAAACTTTAGTTCTTTTTCACAGCACTAATGTTTTCCCTTCCTGTTTAAGCTTTTAGTTATACCCTGGTTACAGAAACTTGGTTACCCTTTACACTTTTCCAAAGCTTCAATTAATTCCTCCTCTGTTTCCAAGGACCAAACCAGTTATGTCACACACATAAATTAGCCTGTTTCAGACAGCACAGGGAACATTGGTAGTTCTTGGAAATTAAGTTTTCCCTATTACTAACCTTCACAAGCATACATATATTCCTTTTAAACCTGACCTTACTAATGAGAGAATAACTAAGAATGAGCCTTTAATAGCCCAGCTGGTGTTCAGGTAAAGAATGGGTTCAAATAATATTTCTGAACTCCTAAGGGCATTATTTTAACAATCTGCTCCAGAACTAAATAAGGAGGTGACAGTCCAACTTAATCAAACACTAGTGACCATAAAAAACTAAAAAATGTCAGTGTGTTCCAAAAATGTATTTTTAGAAATGAAAATGCAAGTGATCCAGGGAACTCACATTCAACCTTTAAGTTTTCAAGGAACTGGAGTTCATTAAAAAAGAGGTATTTGTGCATATACAGAAGAACTCTGGAGGACAGAATTTGGTGCCTACTTCTCATTTGATCTAGCAGTTATTTTGAAGGGCTTCCAAATATTTTAGTTCTCTAATGACATTAATTATGAGCATAGATAGACCTCAATATTAGGTAATACATATGAGATAGAGAACACAGTCAAGCTTATTCGAAAACCTGGCTGTAGAGAAATATTTAAAAATCTGTGCCTTATTGTCTCTAAAACATCCCTGAAGAGAAGTCCAGTTGCTTTAATAGCTTCCAGATGTTAGGAATAAGGTATACATGAAAAACATATATCTAACTTATAGCTTGAATATTTTCTTCTTCATGTTGTGGTGCTACACAGTGATGCAATGCTATAAAAGGCCATGTATACTGAATTCCACAAACTACTTGCAGAAAATGAGAGAACTATGAAAATAATGCTTACAAGAAAAAAAATGAGCTTTTTGAAACAATATACTAGGATTCTTACTGTTTCACAGAGAGCTAGAAAAAAATGTTAATACAATGAGATACTTAATCTTAAATAGAAGATATCATTTTGGACAGCATATGCAAGTAAAATAGTGCTCTTTAATAAATGCAGCACTGGCACTGGCATGAGTTTTCTGTTTGAAGAATTGCTAGCTGGAGGACCTGTTACCCAAAAAGCTTAATAAAGTCTATTTTCTTATGCCAAGTGACCAGTGCATGGGTTTCAGAGCAGAAGAACTCATCCTTTCTCAGAAGTTCAACATGGGCTTAGCATATTTCATAATAATAAAGAAAAAAGAATGCATTTTTACACATTTGTTATGAATACTGAACTCACAGCATGTAAGATCTCTTTACATCAGCAAAGCCTTCACCACTGCTTTTGTCTGAAAAGTTTTATCCACTTTATTGCTGATTTACCCTTTTAATAGCACTTAGGCAGTAACAAAAAAGTTTCTGTATTGTCCTTTATGACAAAAAAAAAAAAAAAAGTAAAAGAAATACTGCAAGAATGACTAATCTTCTAAAAGGTGTTGCTAAAACAACAGATTGTTTAGGATTAGGGATATTTTACTGTACTTTTTATGGAGAAAACAAGAATATCAGGACAGTGCTTATAGAGTTTAAGCAGTGTACTTATGCCTCAAATTGCATTCCTCTGTATGTATATTTTGTCTTTGCTCTGGTTCATCTCCATAGCAACATGTTTGTTCCTATGGAGAATCTGGATGACTAATTTCAAATTGAGCCTGAAATTTTTAAAACAAGATTTCTGTTCTCTATAAAATAATTATGGACAAAAGCACTTTTAAAAACCCTCAGAAAATAAACATAATTTTGTCCTTCTTTCTTTTACCATGCCCTAGACATAGTTAGCTATGAACAAGATTTTGATCTCTCTTTCCCGTGATGTTCAGACTGGGAGCAGGCTTATCCACATGACTTCAGCATCTGTTATAAAATCTGGTGGGAAATTTTTCATTCCAATTTCAATGGCTCACTGTATTCACTAATTATGTTGTTATATACACACATTCCAAGTTTTCCCTCAGAACCTGCGATCTTTGCTTTAAAAAACCCCAACAAACAGAAATCTCATGAGGAGAGTGGTGAAAAGACCAGGGCAAGATGACTTTAAGATGACTTTCAAAATAACATGGGTCATTCTAGAAGTGGTCTTTAAATTATAAACAGTATAACTTCCTGATTGTATCTGTATCTGTCTTTGATCTCAGGGAAAGATTCTATGGCTGAGAACTCTTTGTGGCTACAAGATAACAGTGTTAAAAAATAGTTGTTTTTCTTTTAAAAAAAAAAGAGAGAGAGAAGATATTTCCATCAGAACCTACAGGAAAAGAAAATAAAGAAAGAGAAAATTATCTCTAATTATATAGTACATTTTTTATCATGAGTTTTCATAGATAGGTACATCTTTTAACTCTAGTAGTAAATTGATCCAGCTAGATTTTCATTCAAATTATTCCAGGAATTCTCATGGAATTGCCAATTTTTTCTGGCCAATATGAGCTGTCCTGCATTGCACAATAGGTCTAAGACTGAAAATCCCACATACAGACTGGCATAAAAGGAAGGACCCTTTTGTTTAATTGCTCAGATAGTGTCAGCCTGTTGAATCCAGCTCAGATAATACTACTCATCCAACTCACCAGAATTACTGCTGTGAAGTTCGAACAATTCTGCAATATTTTAAGGCAGACGCAGCATCTGCATCATCTGGAAGTAATGAAGCTTTCATTCTCTATGCCAGCTATTCAAGTCTTATATCTGATACTCAAAAAGTTTTCACATATGGTCCATTCCAACCTGTTCTTTTTCTGCTTCTCCTGGATTTGTATTTTTTTAGGCATTTCTCATACGCCTACTTTAAAATCTTTAAATAGGTGGAATATTCTGGTGAAAGTAATGAATACTTTTATTCTGCTTCCAATTTCTTTCCCAGTGGTGCCAAATGCACATTAGACCTGGCACACCCATAGTTTGAAAAGAATCATAAATTTAAGAAGCAAAATATGGACCTGTTTTATATAATAGTGAGTCACTTCTGCATTTTAATCATACACTACAGACAATAAAAGAGAAATGAAGTGTCAATGATTTAATTGGCAGTAATAGGCAAAGGCTGTGTAGAGACAGCAGTATCTCTTTTAATTATAAAAACATGTTCCTTTATGGGATAGGTGCCCTGCCATCAGCCAATGGAGACAACTTTAAAATTCTACATGGCTTAAATAAACAGCACATACAATTATGGAAGTGGTTTCTAAATATCATTCAGAAAAATATCCTTGACATAAGAGTAACTGAGAAATAGCTACTGAAGAAAGATGGTATCGTTCATTTTGAGTAAAAGTATCAAAAGAAAGAAATACGTTCCTATTCCACAAAATGAAAAAATGAATAAGAAATTAAGCAGTATCTGTGATGATTTATTGTTAATCTAAATTATTAATTTAGATCATTATTTAGATTATTTAGACAACCTTTTCTAGATCAACTAGAAAAAAAAAAAAAGAAGAAAAAGGAAACATAGAAAAGTGTGGCAGCTTTATCTGGCACACAGATTGGATTTCTGTAAGAAAAAATCCCATGTAGCATATGTGGCTTTTATCATTGTAATGTGTGTACTGAACTAGTCAACCATCTTCAGATTTCAACTTGCAATCCACTTGATTTCAGGGGGAACTAGAGGGAAAATCAGCTCCTGCCTGAATCAAATGTCCAAAATCGTGTTGCTCTGTTTTGAGGTACACTGAATTCCAGGCCATTTTTGAAAATTTTGGTTCAGTGTATAGCAGACCATATTCATTTGAAGAGTCCACTCTTATTTGTAAATCAGTACTTCTGCTTGAGAAATCTATGGACACCTGCAGAAGGAAAGAAGAGCATGTTCATCAGAATTAAATGTACTGAAGACAAATTATATTATTACTCAGATTCATGCAGTTTTAGTGTTTTCTGTCCTAAAAATCAAGCTGATAAATATATCCTGCAGTATAACATCTGTGTACCATCTCACAGTGAAAATTATGGGCATTCATCAACTCTGTGGAATATAAATTAAAAAAAAACAAGAGTGTGAAGTACTGAAAGATTGTTTTTATGTCACATGAATAAAAGGGAGAATTAAAAAGGAAGTCAGGAATAAAAAACACTGAAATGTGAGAAGAAAAAACAACAGCGTAATTTCAATAAATTCAAGTGATCAGCAAATCTCATATGCAGTTTTTTAAAAGCTCATGGAGAGATACTTCAGTGAGTTATTAAAAGGCTAAAACCCTTTTCCTGACAAAGGAATATACGGAGAGTAGCCATCTAATAGCAAATAGACATGGATAAATTACCTTTACCCTTTAAACCCAAAGACTCTCTAAGCGTGTGGAGACACCATAGGAAGCCCCTGAGAACACTCTAGGTGTTTTGGATCACATAACAACTAAATGATTTTTAACTGTGGTTATACTGGAATATGTGTCTTTCTAAAGGTTGTATGAGAATACATCAGGTAAAAGTTAAACAGTGTAAGCTGATCAAAAAAAGAACCTTATTACTATTTATTAGTCTTTGGTACTGTATATATTTTATATAGCCTCATCTCATTCTAAACAAATGCTACACTTTCCTCATGAAGGACACGGTGGGGTGTCATGTTAGAACAGGTTGTTTTATATATATCTATGTTAAACAGTGCTAGGCCAGATAAAAATGCTTTGCACTTGGAAGAAAATAAGGAAATACCGAAGGTGTTTTAAAACTTGTAGAAGGCAATTACTGTTCTTCCGCATACAAAAGTTTTACTTTTAAAAATTAAGAATAGTTTTACAGAGCTGGAATAAGGGCATAATATACTATACCATGCAAGAGACAGACTGACATTCACACCCACCAAAATAGTAAACCAGAAGTTAGGGCACAGGCCCAGAATTTGAAGTTTGTTAATATAGAGAGTGTGTTAACTAATACAGCAGCTTTTCCATCTTGGGTTGGGGAACTTGTCTCCAGGACAGTGTTTCTAAGCCTATGTATTGCCAGAAAATATACATGACTTTTTGCTGGCCTTATGGATAATGAATTAAGAGCATGTTATCAGCTACTAGGATAAGACCTAGCTAACTTGGGATAATATTAACAATCAGAAATAGTGCTTTCTGTGGAGCATCCATAAGGAATTGAATACAACACAGACACTACAAGATGAATTAGCCAAATGTAAATTTGCATGAACTGGAAAAAACCCTTCAGACTTCTCTTTAAAGCTTCTTCATCCCTTCTTGGCTTTAGCACAGTCTTCTTCTATGAAACGTCCTTATCCAACATTCAAAATCATCTTGTTAGCAGCATGGTCTTAAGGGATGAACATTAATTATAACATTTACATTTCACGCTAAACATAGAAACACTCATTCACATAAAATAAAATCCTTCACATGCACCCTTATATATACACACAGAGAGATTTTACATGACAGATGCAAAAAAAAGACATAACAATGTGTTAATAAAATAACAAAGTTACCTAAATACAAATTATGCCCCTGACAGCATTCCCTAAATTCTATCCGTTGCATTGAGTAGGCTATGGATCATGCAGTGCTTACTGAGCAGCTCTTCCTGAAAAAGCTTACCTGGAAATGTAAATGTAATTTCTGATTTTTCTACTTCATCACCTGCTCTGTGGCTCTGGCCTTCTGTTGTGTTTCTGTTTAGAGAGTAAAAATACTTCTGCTTTGGTGTTTCTCCCCATTTAATGCTGTTGCATAGCAGGGTATGGGTGTTGCATAATTGAAAAGCCTTGGCCACGTAAAATGTGGCTGTCAGCCGCGGTTGCTAAGAAACTACAACTTAACTGCTTTCAAATACAATTTTACTAAAGTGCAATTACCCACACCTGCTATTGTTATTTATATGAGCTGATGAGTAATTCCTTCTTCACCATACTGGACACGTCCTCTCTTAGCTCCCATTGCACTAAGCTCCTTTCCGGCAACTTGTGAGATCATTTCTCATCTTACTCAAACAAACATTTTAAACCACCCCCATATCCCAGATATTCCCCAGGTAGGGAAGTGTGTCACAAAACATCTCCATGTGGCTCAGCACGAGACAGTGGATAAATGCCCAGCTGGTCAGTGTCACTTACAAAACCAGTGTCACGAGACAGAGCCTCCAAAGAAAATTTACACCAAGAGAGACTGCAAAGCTGAATAGGAGGTGATGGGCATTTTTTAATTGGAAAAAAATATGTTTATGCAGTAATAAATTATTTAACAAAAAAAGTAAGTAGATCATTTAGTAACTCAGCTTTTAGTAAGCCAGCCTCCTATGTTTTGTTAGATGAACAAACAAAATGCCAGTAATAAGGAATATACATGCAAGAGGAGTGGGTGTCTCCTGACTGGAAAACTTTTGTCTTTATCTTTTTTATCATGTAAACATCTGCTGGTGCCTCTTGAATAACAAGGGCATCTTTTATAGTATCTTGGCTATATTCCACATCAGCACAGACCATTCTGTTTCCTAAGTAATTTCAACCATGTGAATTAGATGCCTTATTCTTTCTTTGCTTCCTGGAGGTGAATGCAGACATCTTGTAGCTAGTCAAGTAGGAACTTGATGAGAGGAAGCTTTAGCCTGATGATGGGAGTGAATAATTAAAAAGCAAAGAATTTGTAAAGCATGTCTGCCCTTTTCTACCCCATGGGAGGTGAACTAGTATGCAGCAACAAAAAAGAGGAAGGGGATACAACCTTAATAAGAAAAGCAGGGCACCTCTCCACAGGTGGGAAAGGCCAGGCTCAGTCACTTGTTCCTTTCATTCTGCTTCTGCTCAGAGCTAACTAGACACAAACCAACAAACAGGCTCTGCAGGGAGGCAGATGTACTAGCTCTAGTCCAAGTGTGTGTTAAACAGCTGGAAGTCTTCTGGAGAGAGCCTTGCTTGTACCTGAAGATTCAGAAATAGTGGAAATGGTACTTACATATGGCTTCAGTCATTTACATGGGTTCACACAAAATAGAGAATGTGAAAACAGAGAAAGGAAAGGGAGAAAAACTGCATCTTACCTAATAAATACCTACACACTAAGACAGACCTGGCACATTCACAAACACTGTGAAAAGAAGTTATATATTCTAATGCAAATCTTGATGTAAACCAATTTTGTTAGTCATTGAACCATTAGTCATTTAAGTTAAAGTACTTGATTTTTAACATTTGGTGTGCAATCAGGGTACAAGTATTTGTCTCACTGCTGAACTTGGATGTTTGTTCTGCACGGGTGTAAGTTCCTGGCACCACAATGTTCAATACTTCAGCCTATCTGTACAATGATGAGATGATGCATGCTGCATGAGAATGCAGAGGTGGACAACATGATTTGTAGCTGCTTGTGATTGCTAATGACAAAGAAAAATTTGGGAACAGTATAATAAACAGATGAGGTTATTTGTAAATCTCTCATTTTCTGGTTTTCACTTCCCGAATACATAATAAAATGTGGCTATATTTTCTTGCATGAAAATGACAGTAAGTTTTTTAAAAAGTAAATTCTATACCAAAAGGTATCATTGTGCAGCTATTTGTAAAAACAAAGATGCATTTTCTTGCCTAAAAGAAATTCTCTGGAGTCTACAGTTTCTTTCAAATAGTTTTACCTTCATCGCCAAATATTTTGATATTTTTAGATGACTTAATAACACATTGTAAGGATATATTTCAGCAGAATTTCAACATGGCTACTACATAACTGCAGCAAACTAACCTCGGGATTTTGACAAGTCCATTCTTTTTTTCTTTTACGTAACATCACAAAGCTCTGTTTTAGAGTGGCATGGGGATAACAAGCCTGAATTACAATTTCTGAAGATATCATTTGAATGACCATCTTTAGGCATGAAGTCTTCCACAGCATGCCCCAAATTGCCCAGGAAACTTGTTGAGGCATTACAGTGCCAGAGGAGGTGCGTGTCAGGGGACCACCAAATGTTTCCAACCTCCTCCCAGGTCCAGACACACATTATCATTCATGTTCTGAATACAACATGAAAGCATTATATTGAATGCCATTTTTCTAACAAATGTATCAATAGAGATATGATGTTAGTTAAGCTTTAGGGTGTGCTTTTAAAAGTATTTTGAACGAAACAGAGGGTGGCAGAAGTCCACAGAGGTTCCAGGTGCATTTCTGTATATCCAGACATATCCAGCTTTTTAAAAATTGTTTTACCTGTGTGAAATTTCTTCTGCTTTACTTCTGGATGGATTAGAAATTCATTTGTCATCATACCTTCTTTGCCACCTGAAGCAGAGACCATAAACCACACAACCAATAAATCTACGGATTCAAACTGTAGCCCTTGGCTGCCACCTAAAGGTTTTGTATACTTCTTTAGAGGGGTACCATCAGACTCTGTTCCACTGTTTGGAATGGAAAAATGCTTGCCTAGTATTGTTACAGGCAGCTTCTACATTCCCTGTTACTGAGAGAGATTAAAGGGAGGGGACACAATTGCTCTGGAAAAAAAAAAAAAAAGGGAGAGGAAAAAAACAAAACATATTAAGCCAAGGGTGCTCCAGAAAGAGCAATTCCTTCTTCCTGCCTACCCTTTGGACTTGAAAGCCAATGAAAAACCTAGGGGAAAAAATAGTATATGTTACTTGCAGAAGGGGCCAGTATGCCCAGACAGTGTTTGAGTAATTCAACAGGAGCTGCAGGAAGGTTGTGTAGGTCTTATGCTCTCCACTGTGGAGAGATTGCTCTCTCTAAGCACTCTTCACAACTCAAGCTACTTGAGAATATCAGGAGCTCAGATGGCAAAGAAAATCCTGGCCACTGACCCCTTTTCACACCAGCAGGCAGAATTCTGCCTCAACTCTCTAGCTAGCTACAACTTTCCTTTATTTTCATCAATTAACTCAAAATCATTGCTTCTTATTCACCGTGTCTGTACTAGGTAGGCAATTTACAGGTATTTTGGATCTATTATAAAATGTTCTATTTCAATTAGCTATCAGTTTTACACAGTGAAATCATATGTTGGGAAAACTTTTTCTAATGTATGTATCTAGAATTCATAACATTATGATAGCAAATTATACATTTTTCTCCTTATACAAGCGGATCTCATAAAAACTTTCTGGTAGGCTATAGAATACAGAATGAGGATCTGAATAAGGAGAAAAAGAGTGATCTGAAGTGATATGGCCACAAAACCAGAGAATCAACCTATAATTTGAAATAAAGTTGTACTCAACTATTAGTGTTAGAGTAACAGAATTGCACAAGCTCTTTATCTTTTCCATGATATGTTCATCATATATGTCTTACATTCTGGAGCACAAAAAGCAATCAACAGGACAAATTAAGTAGGAGATATTCCAAGAGAGAAGAAACTATACTATCATAGGCTCAAAGAATTTCTGGATAACAAAGAACTGTATTTCTGCTTTGGTTTTGCAGTTTAATCCTGATTTACACATCCAGCTCCATTTTCACTCTCCACAGGATCTGTTCTGGTTTATTTTTGGTTTACCCTCTCCTCCTACAGGAATGATACCTCTCATGTTCTTAAAGGGAAGTGGACTGACCAACTGACAACAATGCACCAAAGAATAAACCAAGAGTCTACAGAGAACTAGTGGTTTCCACCCACACATGGGAAGAAGCTTAGTGAAAGCAGCATTTTGGCCCACATTGTGAAAATGAAGACAAGTAATCAGTAAACTCATAACTGTGTGTTTTGAAGCTGTGATCATAGTGTATTTGCAGTATTCTCTGGGAGACAGTTAATGGTTAAGAGCAAAAGAACTAGTTGTTCTCTTTTGTCCTTTTGAGTAGTCCATGTGTCTGTGTCTTCTGTGGCACACACAGTTATATTCAAGTTTACTACCTTGAACAGATCTCTTTGAGATCATAACCTTCCATGGCAGCTATTACTATGATGGTTTGTGCATAGGTAAGGTGCATGTCCTTGTTATTTGTACCTCTTACAGTGCTGGCTGTTCTCTCTTTTACTTCAGTCTTGCACTTGTATTTCTCTTCTGAGTATAGTGAAATTTCAGTTTAATTTGATGTTTCAGAGACAGCCAGGACACATCTCTTACAAATTAACAATTTTACATTCCGTTTTCTTCCAAGTACAAGTTATACTGTTTTGTTACTTACCTGTAGAAATCTGGACACTTAGAAGACTGATAGAACTTGAGAAAGAATTATAACAATCATCTTTTCTGACCCCCCATGTTATATACGCTATACAACTTCACCCAGCAATTTCTCCAGTAACCTTAATACTTCTGTGTGATATATAGTTTGTCTTCTATACAATCATTGGGTCTTGAATTAAAGACCACCCATGATGAAAAATGGTGCCAAAGAAGAAGTCTAATCAGAAGCATTTTTTTTCAAACACAGTTAGGCTTACTAAATTATTTTGCAACCTTTATTTCCCCTCACCTTCCAGTGTTCTTTAGTGTGTCATGTCACACAAGGATTATTTGCCAGTACAGTATTTCATTAACTAAATTTTAAAGGAACAAATTTTTAGTTTGGCTGTAGCTTAATTATGTAAAATATTTTCCATTTGAGATAAAAAGATAAGGTCTGGCAAATCCTAAGGTAGCTGTGTACTCTTATCAAGTACATGCTTACAGTGTGACCTTAATTTTGGTCCTCAGTTCATTCTGACTCCTTAAATACCATTGAACTATTCCATTACTTCTAGACTGCTTTAACTCAGGCTAGAAGTGTCTGTTCCAAACAAAGTGATGTCTGCTCCTTAGCAATACATAAATCCCATAGTTCCTCGCATGCCTTACCCTGACTTCAGTTAACAGTTAGTACCAGATGCTTCAGCAAAGGTAGAAATCATCTTTAAAGGACTGCATCATTATGTGGCTGGAGGAAAATTTCTCTGCAGCCCCAGACAGTGGTTGGTTCTTGTTCTGAAGCATGAAAGCCTACCTTCGTTGTGAATTTTTATCCTGGCTAGTGTAAAGGCACATAAAATTTGTATAAGTATCTAATCTGTTTTTAAATCCTACAAAGTTCTTATCTGGAGCCACAGAATTCCACAAGTTACTTATACATTATTTTTAAAAGAATCTTATTTTTATTATAGCATAAAGGAAAAATTAATGCCTACAGCTTTACTGGATCCTGGAATTAGACAAGAGAAGGTTTATTTATATGAATAAAAAAAAAAATCAGAAGTAGGGATATCTTTCAGAAGTAGGGATGAACTCATGTGAGGTGCTGCCCAAGCATACATGCTCCTATGCCAAAATGATAACAATCAAAGAATAAGCAGAATGTGAGGAGACATATATATAGACACATATTTGAAACAGTTACAAAAATCAGTAAGTAATGGGGGTCCCCATCTGCCTCCATTATTTCTCAATTTCACCATTAAATATTTCTTGATTTATTTTAGCTGTCACATTAGCAGTGAATCTTGAGCAGCAATCTGGTGAGAAAGGAGAGGGAATATACCCCACAGAGAATATCCTGGCTGTAATGGGCACACCATCTTTCAAGACTGAGGACAAGAGCAGATGAAATCCAATCAGGCAGGCTCAAAACCTTCGATAATTCTGGAAAACATACCTTTCCTGTCCCTGTTCCCCACCCCTCTCACTTCCCCGACTCTGCCACGTGCACCCAGAGTTTGCCTGTGGGATTTTTCAACCCATGCACTAGATTGAGCAGCTCAGCCATGGACAGGAGAAATTATTTGTACTCATCAATCACCCAGTTACAAACTTCTGCATTTAACTGTAGAATACTTCTGAACCTGATCTGTAGAGTATATACTGTGCTAAAAATAAACTTTAATTTCTATTAATCAATACTTGCGCTCTTTCTAAAACCACAATTTCGCTTTCCCTTTCAACCTCTAACACTTAAATTTCTCCGGAGGAACTTTAAGTCCGAAAAAATACTTCCTGATATTTCTCCACTATATTCTACCTTTTTCTTTCTACCAGCTCCTTGTAAAACATTACATAGGAAACCTCAGGGAAATATGAGTGAGCTAACGATGACAGGGGCTTACCTGGGAATTTTCTCTGAAAACTTTCCAAAATGTTGTCAGGCCTGCTGTATTATTATGGAATATTTCATCTTCCCCTTTGGTAACCCAGTATCTTAAATCCTGGGGTCAGAGAAGGGGTAAAATCATCATGGAAAGAGGATGAGGGAGAAATTGCAGTGCTGCTTGAGATAGCCGTAGAAGCAGCAATCATGACCTTAGAACTCCATTAGGGAAGTGAGAGAAGCAGAGAGGGGGTAGATGGGGAAAACAAAAGACCCATAAAGTATCATCTGAGGATCCATCAAAAGTGACTGATGGAAGAAAATAATTAAAAAAAAAAACATGAGAAGAATTAAAAAAATAAATCAGGTGAGGATGGAGGCAGATTGAGAGTAATAAAAAATAAAAAATAAAAAGGAGGCAAACCTAACTTTTGAGGAAGAAAAGAATTTAAAAAACCTGATGTGAAACACAGTCACTTGATTGGCACCTAAGCCGGCTCTCAGCGGTAACTGGAGATTGCACACTTTTCTCAAGTACCAGGAAGAAAGGTAGGAGATAGGCAATAAGAACAGAAGGAAAAGGTGGAGGTAAAAAAAAAGAAAAACACACAGAGTGCCAGTGTATTATGGATAGTTTCAGCTTGCAATAATAAAAAAATAAAAAATAAAAACAAAAACATAAAAAAGTGCATGACTGTTGCTGAACTTCACAGTGGTTTTGCTCATCTGTAGAAAAGAAAATGCTATTGTTTATGTTCACAAATGTTCTTTGAAATCAATATTTTCAGAGGATTTCAGCAGCCTTAGTGTCTGTGGATCTACACCTACATCTATCAAGAGGAAACCTGGCCTTCACCCATCCTCCATGGAGCTGGAAAACCACACAGTGAGCATCAAAATTGTAATGACTGGTTTGGTGTGGGCTGCAGTCCCTTGTGAATATAAAACTAAGTAAAACGATATGCTCTTCGCACTCTGTTATTCACTGAAGGAAAACAGGAAAGACAGCAACACAAGGTCTGGTCTACAGTCCCTCAGGCAAAAGTTCCACTGAAATAAGGTTAACGAAATAACTTATCAGGCCTACTGCTCTTCTATCCTTCTCCTTCCAGAAATCAAGATGCAGTGCCTGTAAATCTGTGATATAATATCTAGAAAATATCAATGACTGCATTTAGAAGAACCCCAGGTAAATTTTGTAAAGACAGACTGCAGGGGAGCTCTTGTGTCTGAAGTCAGAAAAGCTCTCAAAGCATACCACAGGTTTATTTGTCAGAAGGAAGAAAACACTTCCATCTGAAATACGAGTTCCGTCACATGAAAAATCATAGTGGAAGTACTGAAAAATCCTAGTGAAGAGTGTTATTTAAAACTCTGCATGTGACAACAATTAAAATGTTCTTCTTTCAGAATAAATCTGTTCAACTGTATATACTGCAGGGTTTCTTTCAGTAAATACTTCCAGAAAGAGCATTTCAATAAACAACCCTAAGCTTTGACGACTTGTTATAATACATGCTTTTATGCTTTTGAGCATCTTATTTGAATTATACAGATAATTTCTTATGCTTGTTTGTCTCTAGAAAAATCATCCTAGTTTTTCTTAAACAGAGGACAAGGACACCTTCACTGAGGCCACCTCAATGCTAATTTACAGATCAGCTGTCTGAACTACAGATGCCCTAGGAAACGAGTGTCTGTATAGAGCTTAAAGCATTGGTTTTGACCTAGTAAACCCTAAACAGACTGATACCTTCTTACGTGAGAAGCCACTGCTGTCTCTGTGTCAACTGCGTGCTAACCGTTTTGGTTCAGAGTCCATCTGTACTGCAATATTTCTTCTCGCAAAGCTGTGAAATGTCTCAGGTTTATTCTTATAACACTTTCTCAGTGGGCTTCTGGCAAGCACTAAAGCACAGAAGATCAAGATCTGGGATTTCTAGAGGACTATATACTCTATATTTTTAATACACAAATTTTGGAATACAATCGGTTGTATAAGAAAGGAAGAGAAGTGCACTGCTGAGTTTTGCAATTAATTCTCTACAGGAAAGCAGAATAGAGGGAATATTGCTGGCACTTAGACCAGGGCGGGGGGGAACATCATTTTATAGTTAAACCCATTCAAATAAATTGTGAATAAAAACAAGACACAGTTTACACAAGTCACAAGTCACTATGGAAAATAGAAGGTGTTATTCCACCCGTCTCTGCATAACATTGGCCAAACTGTTAGTGTTAAGAAGGTAAAAGCAAGAAGAAATGTTGTCTGATTGTTTCATGCAGACCTACTGAAGTCACTGAAGTTACAAACCCAAACAAGATTTGTGAGCCCATAGGAAATGCCCTTGTGAAATCAATGGAAGCCTTCATGAAAAACTCTTAAATAGAGTATCAGACATTTGGGATTATTGTTTTTCCTCAAAATGCACCATTTTTTCTTTGTGCCTTGTGCATTGGAAATATCAGTAACTGGTAACTATGGTAGTCATTAATGAAAAAAAATAATGAAAAATACTATTTTGGGAAGTAAATATTCTATTTTGAAAGCTGACATTGCCAGTTTTCACTGTGAGAACTGAGCCCATAAATGAGAAACAAAGAAGATAGTTGTAATATCTTTTATGGAAATATATCATAACTTTGTAAAAATTACAAAGTTAAATTTTTTCAAAAATTTTGTGCATTGCATCAGGCAGTTGGAATTTTATATAGATTTTTACTGGATATAAAAGCCAGCATATATGGGTTGTTCATAATCTGCACTGCTGAGGGAGAGGCCTATAACTCTTTGGTAATCTGTTTCTTGGGAACAGCTATTGAATTTGAATTGTTCTATCACTTTAAATTGATAGATTATGAAAGATTTGCAAAATACATTGACTGCTTTATCTGAAACAGATGCAGTTTAGATTCAACTGTTGTGTAAAAAAAAGAACCCCAGCTATAGCAAATGCAATT